TAATATACACAACCATAAATACTTTGGGAAACATGAGAGTGGTTACTACTAATCTACAAGATTAAAAGTGAATACAAAAACACTAAGAATAGGATTTAGCATTTGTCTGAAGGAAGACAGCCTACATGACAATAAGCATAACTGTCTTGGGTAAGCATTATTAACACTAAGGGCAGACAAGGAGTTATTGAAAGTAAAATTCTGAGCAATCAGCTTTTATTTTCCAAAGACCCATTTTGGATTGGTAATAATATCACTTCGATGAGGATAAAAAAACCCTCTGGGTAATATTACAGTTTAAAAACTGTTGCACTGGTCCACTGAAATTATAGGTATGATTTTTATGATGTCATAACTGGATCAAGATGGCATATTTAATATATGTTCCAGTCTCACTTATCAATTCAAATCACCAGACATAACAATTAAAACAGATATAAACATAAGCACGTATGACTGAAAGAAGAAAAAACAAACCATAACATATGCAGGAACTGTTTCAAAATGCTACGAATAAAAAAGAAAAAGAAGGAAAAACAAAAAATGCTACAAACTAAGATGAGAAAGATGAGCAACAAGAAAGAGCCCTGGCCCACCCAAAGAATGAGTTGTTGATTAGAATGCTTATAAAATTCTACACACTATCTACTGTTTCTTCAGTGTTACCTCTTAATACTCTTCTACTTACTGGCTTTCTTTTGATTACTTGAACAAAATCTGCACCTGTGAATGTCACTGCCATAAATCTTCCCCTGACCATTCTATGCAGAGTAATCTCCTAATCTATCATAGCTCTTTACTTCTATTACTTTATTTGTTTAGGGGCTGTTTCCCCCCACTAGAATGTGAGCTCCACAAAAACAGAGGTCTTATTAAATGCTCAACAGATTCTCAGTGTATTGAAGAGTATACTGAATGGCATACATAGAAGGAAAAGCCATGAAGTTCTTTCCCTTCTATCCCCACTTTCACACAAGCAAAAGACCACAGAATATCTGCCCCCAAGTAAGAGTAGAAAGAGGAAATGTTTTGTGATCAAGAGAAAGGTTGGCATAGGGAGGAAATAACATCCAGGAGGAAGACGAAGCCCTCCTGACTTTAAAGACAAGCTACTAGGCCACACTACAGGCAGCATTAGATAAGTTACAATATACAATGTCAGAGAGTGTGTCCTATGCCTTTCCTACGATTACTGAAGGAAGCCTATAGTAATTATATATAGCATTTATAGACAGATAAGCAAGGAATCTTTTTTGTCTTTTGAGACAAGTCTTGCTATGTGGTTCAGGCTGGCCTTGGACTATGTAGCCCAGCCTGGCCTCAATCTCATGATGCTCCTCCTTCTTCAGCCTCCCAAGTGCTTACAGGTATGCACCACCACACCTGGCTAAGCAAAGAATCTTATGGGGATAAAGAAAAGATGAATACATAACTAAGCCAAACTAAACACTTATGGAAAGTCAGTACATTAAGAAAACATTGGGCTGGGGATTTAGCTCAGTGGTTCTGCCGCCTGCTTCGCAAGTGTAAGGACCCAAGTTCAATCCCCGGTACCAAAAAGAAAACATTAAACTCAGAGAAATAGCCACAGAAATAGCATTAATAACACAAAATAAGACCTTAATATCTTCAGAAGGATGGATGAATATACAGTCATGCATTGTATAACAACATTTTGGTCAACAACAGATTCCATATATAACAGTAACCCTATAAGTTTATAATAGAATTGGAAAATTCCTAATGCTTAGTATTTTACTGTACCTTTTCTATGTTTAGATACACAGGTATTTATCATTGTGCTACAGTTGCCTATAGTATTCAACACACTACTATGACATACAGGTTTGCAGCATAAGAGTAATGGGATATACAATATAGCCTACATATATAATAGGCTATATATTTAGATTTAAGTATATTCTGTGATTTGTATGCAACTAAACAGCCTAACAATACATTTATCAGAATATGTTTCTGTTAATTGACATGTGGTTGTACTAGATCCATAAGAAAAGTAATGAACCACAGTTACTAGAAATGAAAAGATATAATCTTTGATTGAAAAATAGCTTAATAGGAGATTGCAAACAGCTTAAAATTGAGAAACTCACCCAGTACAAAAGGTAAAAGGACAAAGTGTTGAAAAGCAAGAAGTTAATAGGTTAAAAGAAAAACAGGAAATAAAGAAATGAATCTCTACCCACAGATGACAAAATCTTATACTGTATACAGAAAATTCAAAAGAGTCCACCAAAAACTTTTTATTAAAAAAAATTTTTTTTGAGACAGGGTCTGCTGTGTAGTGCAGGCGGGCCTTGAATTCACTATGTAGCCTAGGCTGTCCTTAAACTTGTGCCAATCCTCCTGCCTCTGCCACCTGAGTGCTGGGATTACAAGTGGGCATCTCCACACCCAGCTCTACCCCCAAAAACAACACCAATGATAAAATCAGTTCTATTTCTATGCATTAGCAATAAGGAATCCAAAAGGGAATTTGCTATGGTCTGAATGCCCCCATCAAAACTCATATTGAAGCTGGACTCAGTAGCACAGGTTTGTAATCCCAGGTACTTAAGAGGCAGACATAGAATGATCAAGACTTTGAACTTGAGTAACTAAGCAAGATTCAAGAGAGACAGAGAGACAGAGACAGAGATAGAGACAGAGACATAGACAGACTGATCTGTAAAATTTTGTAAAAAGTCATGGGATTATGGATTATTTTTACTTTTTTTTCAAATAATTTAACCTTCCAGCATGATTAACTTAATACTATAAAATTTTTGAAAAGGACAATGATAAGACTCCTGTTAAACAGAAATAACGGGCCAGGGATTTAGCTCAAAAAAAAAAAAAAGAAATTGAAGATAGGGGCTGAGAATTTAGCTCAGTGGTATCACTGCCTGCCTCACAAGCAGGTCCTGAGTTCAATCCCTGGTACCAAAGAAAAAAAAGAAATAGAAAAGTTTTTCCTATCCACTATCAGTTTCTGTTCTGCCATTAATACACAGATATTGCTTCAAATTCTTAGCTAATTTACCAAAGGGCTCTCTTACTCATGATAAATCTGTCATCTGTACTGAGAAATTCTGAATTCCTATAGCCTAAATTATGGCCTTTTAGGTACCTGTGATCTCAGAATTTTATAACATAGATAATTTCATTTCAGAGCACCAAATTTTAAGAGAGAAGTTCCTTTAAAATAAAAAGCAAATAAGAAATTAGGATGAATGATACTTACATGTAAACATAATTCGCTGGGTACAGAAGTTATCACACTCAGGTCCCTTTTGAACACTGATATGTTAGCAGGCTGACTTGCAGCCACATTGGACAGAATGTTAGAGCCTGCCTGTTGGAAATTAGGAGATTGTACAGGGCTATCTTGGATTCCACAGTGACTGGTGGCTAGGACTTCTGGCATTGTACCGGAAAGTGTGTCTTCAGCAGAAGAAGAAAATGGAGAGTCTATGCTTTGGGTATCCTTCTGACTCTCAGAATAGATGCTAGAGGTGTTGTGCTCCTGATAGAGCAAGTTTCTTAATTTTTCATCCAGAGTTTTAATTCGGTTGTCTGCAAACTCTATCTTTGGAGGTCTTTCCCCATCTGATTCCAAGACAGTAATGGGAAGAAGGGTAGTTGCTTCAAGGCCAGAAGTCTGAGTGAGAATGACTGCCTTGGGAGAACTTGCTTCAGTATTCGCTGTTGTTTCTCCTTCTTGGGAAATAAACTCTGCATCAGTAGTTGGCTGCTGTACTGATAAGGACTGAGGTGGTTGATCAGACACAAATGCTGAAGTCATAACAGGGTTACCAGTAATCCGGATTGATTCACCAGGATGGGCCATGAGCACATTAGCCTGACTGGCAGCTTGATGACATGGATTCACAGGTATGAACATACCTGTTTGGCTGGTAAATCCCTCACATTTGACTGGAACTGAACAATCTGACGGAGAAGAATAAGTAGAACTACTAGTACCTGGTGCCATTATCTGCCTGTCATCTTCCACTGGATAAAGTATAGGTGGCTGCTCAGTTTCTACACTAGCACATTCAGAAATCTTACCATCAACTAAATCCTTATGTTCTGATTTGGAGGTGAAAAGTGCACGCTGGCATGGATTATTTTCTATAGTAAGCAGTGTGTCCTGTGATATTTCCTTATTACTTGTGTTTCTTGAGCCTGGAACAATAACAAAGGAATAGCTAAGTATGTACTAATGAGTAAAAAGCAAGGAGTAGTACCAAACTCAAAAGGAACATGAAAAGTAAGAGACAAATGAGAATGTGTGTGAGAGTACTCTTCTAAATAAGACTCAAAATATCACAGAATTCAACTGGTCGAGGAAAAATATATTTTTCTTTTTTCATAAATACTAAAAATAGCTTAAGTTACATACTAACATAAATGCTTTCAAAACTGCTTATGAAAATTATCATAAGTACAATATACCCATGAAAACAAGATAAAGATATGGTATATATCTTCTGAGTCTGGACAAAGCTAGCAGAGAACTAAAGCTTACAAGGAAATGTATGTAGCCCAGGAACTGTAGCCATCGAAGGCTGAAGAGGAGACTGAGTCTCACGGTTTCTTATGGTTTGATTGATACAAAATCGCCATCGACCAACTGGGGATGACTGAGGAGCAGATTCATCTGTAGAAAGAATTAGCAAAATAATCAATATGCTATGCAACTGTCAATTTGTTTACCTTGCTGATTAAGGAAACCAGGTTAGAAAACCAATTTGTTTGGTATCTCTGTTTCCAACAGTACTAGGATAATTATAAGACCAGATCTCCCAACGCTGACAAATAATCTAAAGAACTAAGCACAGAGTATCTATCAATAGTAATTAGAAGCAAGTCACTCTTTAGTTTTGGGGGTTTTGGGAAAAAAAATGGCAGGCATTTTTCCATCAAAATCTAGGCAAGAGGACCATGAGTTTGAGCCCAGCTGGAACAACTTAGCAACTTAGTGAGACTGTCTCCAAATAAAAAAAGACTGAGGATGGGTTAAGTCCCCAGTGCAACAAAACAAAAACACCCTATATCTCTTGTTCTGTATCCTATTTATAGTGGTTCTTAAACAAATCTATACAAGTATTGAAATTTACAAAACTATACATTAGAAGTCAATTTTACTGTATGACAATATAAAAAACAAAGTAAAACAAATCCCTACATTTTAATTCGTGCTCTGTAAACTTAATCAAGTAAGTTTCTTTTAAACTTTACCCTACTTTGTCAGTTAGAAACCTGCTCAGATCTCTGCTAACCAGAAAAATAAGACACAGAAGGACCCTGGCACCCTAACACAATCAAACTGAATTTTGGACAATATCTGGTTCCATTACTCTCACACAACCTTTTGCTTCCTCATGCTGTTAAAAGTCCTTCAGAGGTTTTCATATGTCTATGGCTCTTCTCCCCCTCCCAGCCACCCTAACACAATCAAACTGAATTTTGGACAATATCTGGTTCTATTACTCTCACACAACCTTTTGCTTCCTCATGCTGTTAAAAGTCCTTCAGAGGTTTTCATATGTCTATGGCTCTTCTCCCCCTCCCAGCCACTCTTTCTACCCATGAGCAGAGCTGAGAATAGAGAAATTAAGTTGCCCAAAAAGAAAACACAAGAACCCCAGTTTTAGTATCTAGATGTATATCTGGTAACTGATTTATGAAAAAGTTATCAGTGATCACAGCCAGTAGAAACATTATCATTGGTGAAAATCAAGATATGAATGACTAAAACACAAAGAAAACTTAGAACATAATAATTTTAGTTAAGAAACTTTCTATCTATCTTATATCCGAAAAAAACAACTTACCAGTTGTTTCAAACAGGCCATTAAAGGTCATCAGTACTGTGACTGCTTTTCTGGTAACATGCCATGCAACAACCCACAAATAAGTTAATCAGATAAAGAACCAACACTTGGAGGAAATTTGGAGAACTGATTCTTATCTCTGAGCTATACAGTCCTTTCAAAGTGTGGAAAACTAACTTATCAAATTACTTTATTGGCTAACATGTTTTTTAATGAAGGTATGTAAATTAAGCTTCCAAATGTCTTGCTTCAAAAGGCAAATTGTAAATTTTATTAAACATACTTACTGCTGGTTTGAGTGGATGCAGAATTTATCTGTACTTGTTCAGATGATCCTGTCTGAATTAAAAATGAATAGATAAATAATGAAGTTCCTAATACATATCAAAAAAGACCTACTTGCTAAACAATTGCTCTTACTTGGTTACTGTTGGATTCCAAGGTAACAGAGTCAACTCCCACAGATTTTTCTGCAGCAGAATGGACATGGAGAATCTCCTGGGCTTGACCTACAATAGCTTTCAATTCTTCTACAAATTTTTCCTTCTCATTTTCTAGCACAAAGTTATCTTCAACCTGGCTCAAAATAAAAGTCAGTCTATTCATGAGAATGAATTTAGTTTCTTCAAAATTATAATACTGTATTGCTGATTACTATAAAGAAAAAATTATCTAAATCCAAGTGCCATAAGACCAGCAATGAAATGCCACTTAATATGCTGAATTAGTCTGAAACCATTGATACTTGTCAGACTGGCACAACCTACAAGAAGCCAGTTATTTTTCAAAATATGGAGTTCTATAAATTAGTTGTTATTTAAACAATGTAACTGGGGCACTGTTTAAAACTAGGCTGTCCAAACCTAAAAAATTTTCAAATGTTAATTTTTTCCCCTCAGTACTGGGGATCGAACTCAGGACCTTGTGCTTGTAAGGCAGGTGTGGTGCCACTGAGCTAAATCCTTGGCCCTCAAACCTAAAAAATTTTAATCCACAAATTACAAAATGAAGCATCTTCAAAGATGAAAAATAAGCCGGGCTTGGTGGCACTGCCTGTCATTCCAGCACTGTGGGAGGCTGAGGCAGGAGGATCTCAAGTTTAAGTTCAGCCTAGGTAACTTAGCAATTTAGTAAGACCCTGTCTCAAAAAATTTAAGAATAGTAGTGAGGGGGCATGTAGCTCAGTGTGAAGGCCCTGGGTTCAATCCCTAGTACAGCAAAAAACAAAGATGATAAATAATGGTACAAAGACCTTTAGTAAGGCTTAATATGCATGGGATATATAAAAGAAGAGACATTTTAGAAAATATTATGTTAGAGATAGAACTGATAAAATTATTATTTATTTCTACTTAGCCAGCAATGCAGAAACAAAAAGTCTGCACTCTTCATGCGACCCTAGACACATCCCTATTAAAAAAGAAAAATACTAACTTAAGTCTAACCATTCCAAGAAAATTTAAAAAACTAAATGAAGTGAGAACATAACTTGAGCACTTACATGAATGATATTAAATCACTGGCTAACACAGCAGAATTACCTGGGTAACCTGACAAACTATTGATGATTAGGCTTCACCCCAAAAAATCCTGATTTAGTCATGGATTTGTGCAATAAAATTATGGTTAAAAAGCTCATCAATGATTTTAACAGATAGTCAGAGATTTAAAAAAGAAAACGCTCTCATATTTTCTGGATAAATACACCAAAGCCAGAGGAAACACAGTGGCTTATTCCTAATCATAACCAATTTGACTCTGTAGAGATTTAAAAAACTAACCATGCCCTTTAAAAAGAAATGGCTCTGAATAAATGAATGGGAAATTGGAGAGAATAAAACAGATAGAGAATGCTAAAGGGAAAATAATTTGATTTTACTATACTTACCATATAGTCTGAAATATCCTCTGGTGCATCGCCATCAACATCAAACTTGAAGGTAACCATCTTGTTGTTGTGAGTCTCCAGCTGACACTCTACCATATTGTCTCCAGAGGTTGAAACCTAAGCACACATTTCATCAGTTTAAGAATCACTGTGGGGCTGGGGATTTAGCTCAGTGGTGCCACCCCTGCCTTGCAAGCTCAAGGTCCCGAGTTCAATCTCTGCTACCCCGCCCCTAAAAAAGAATCACTCTGTTCTCTTTATAAATTATGTAGAGACTATCTAAATGATTTCACACAAAATACATGTAAAAAATGGTTTAATTCCGGTGCCTGCCTTGCCAAGTACAAGGTCCTGAGTTTGATCCCCAGTACCAAAAAAACCCCCCGAAAAAACAAAAAAAAAACAAAGAAAGAAAATGGTTTAATTATTTCAGAATCATTTTTTCCTTGTTTTATTTTTTTTTTAAGACAGGGTCTTGCTATGTAGTTCAGGCTGGCCTTTGAACTCATGGTGATCCTCCTAACTCAGCTTACCAATGTGCTAGGATTATGGTTATAAACTACCACACCCAGCAATACTTCAGATTCTAGCAAGATTATGTATTCCCTTGGTGAAATATCACCTAAACAGCCACTTTGTAGTAAATATAATAGGGAAAAATTACTCAGTAAAAACATGTCAGAAATGTGACTTCATGGGAAAATAGAAACCTTGTATAAAAAAGAAAAAACTTACAATAATCATATAGCAATATGCAACACAGTAACTAAATTCAGTGATTCATTTATAAAAGTTTCTTCTAGCAATAAGTATTTAGAAACTTATGAAAGCTTCACACTTTTTGTTGCTGGAGAAGGAACCCAGGGTCTTACATATGCTAAGCACATGCTCTACCATTGAGCTACACCTCCAGCCTTCAAATTTTCATATATATATATATATATATATATTTTTTTTTTTTTTTTTTTTTTTTGGTACCGGGGATTGAACTCAGGACCTTGTGCTTGCCAGGCAGGCATGGCGCCACTGAGCTAAATCCCCAGCCCTTTTATACTCTTTAATCCACTAATTTTACTTCTAGGGATGTATCAAAGGAAATAATAAGGGAGAGATACAAAGAAGTTATGTTCTAGGATGTTTGGTGCAGAAAGAAAAAGAGGCAGAAAGACATAAAGATGGGGAATGGAAGATGACAGAAAGTTAGGAAATTAGACTGGCAGAAAGAGACAGACAAAAAGGATGTACAATAGAAGGAATGAGGGCCAGGGATTTAGCTCAATGGTGCTGCATCTGCCTGGCAAGCGCAAGGCCCTGAGTTCACTTCTTAGTATGGGCAAAAAAAATACAATAGAAGGAATGACTAAATTATATCTTCATACAAATGACTAATGCAGTCATTTAAAATATAATGCTATTTAAAAATAACTTGATGATATGGGAAAATATACATGATATATTAAGTTTTTTAAAAGGCAGGATATAAAAATTTTTTTTGGTACCAGGGATCGAACTCGGGACCTTGCACTTGCAAGGCAGGCGGCGGAACCACTGAGCTATCCCTGGCCCAGGATATAAAATTATATTAAGGTTTAAACAGCTACTTGAAATGTATATCATACTGACTAGAGATACAGGCTTTAACACCTGATCTAGGTTCAGATCTCACTCGATCACTTGCTAGTTGAATGATCTTAAGCAAATTACTTTATTTCTTTGATATGCAGCATCCTCATTTGTAAAGATGAGTATAGTACTACCTATCATACAGAGCTCTGGAAGGATTACATAATAAATTGGATGTGTGATAAAATGTCATTTAAGGTGCCTACCACAGAAGAATTCAACACATTTTTGCTACTAGACTATTACACACACATAAAGGAAAAAATGAAAACAAACTAAAATGGTAGCAGGAGCTAGCTCTGAGTGGTGATTATAAGTGATTTTTATTTGCTTTCTCATATTTATCATATACTCTCCAAGTTAAACAATTAATATATAATACTCTTATCAGAAATATTTTAATGGAAGAAAAGTTAATTTACAGAGAGTTCCACAATATTCTACATCTGCTTCCACGGTATTGATTTTCTCTGGCCCTTCAAGACCTCTACATGCACTCATAACCAATCCATACCTACACACTGACCTGAAGAACAGTAAGCTGAAATTTAGTCCCCTTCTCTGGTCGGGGACAGGAAGCTTTTCTCTGTTTGATCCGATCCTGTTTGCCATTTCCACTTGGATTATCAGGGTTATAGGTGTTTTCTTTCATAACTGCCACATCTTGATTCAAGCTAATAATTAAAAAAAAGTAACATCCCAATCCTGATAGCAAAGATTTAAGAAAAACTTCTAATTATAAAATTATAAATAATGAGTTTGTGGAAAAAATTAATAAATACTACAATATATTTTTAAAGTTTTGATTACACAACTCTGTGAATATACTAAATGTCATTGAATCAAATACTTTAAATGAGTAAATTATATAGTATAAAAATTATATTTCAATAAAGCTATCTTTTTTTTCAGTACTGGGGATCAAATTCTAGATCTTTGCACTGAGCTATATCCAAAATGCCCATGATATAAATGAAAATAAATTCTTCTGATAAAAAAATCAGGAAAATCATAACTTGAATGCAAAATACGAATTGATAGGTGTTAACACCAAGATGAATCAGATATTGTAATTATCTGGAAGGATATTAAAGCAGCCATCATCAAAATGATTTATTGAAGGCCTGAGGGTGTGGCTCAGTGGTAGCGTCCTTGCCTTGTAGGCATGAGGCCTTGGGTTCAATCCTCAATATCACACATGCACACACACACACACACACACACACACACACACACGCACACACAAAAGCTTCAATGAACAATTATATATATTCCTGAAGCAAATGAGGAAAACAAAATTTTATCAAATAAACGATATTAAGAAAAAAAACCAAATGGAAATTATAGAACTAAATATATAATCAGAAATTTAAAAAAAAATTACTGAATGAGCACAATGGAAATGAACAGGACAAAGGAAAGAATCAGTGAATTTAAAGACAGAATAACAGAAGTTAATCAATCAGAACATACAGAAAAATACGAGTTTACATCTACCAAGTAATTATACAATTATGCATTTGGTTGTAATTTATTCCCTTTGGATTAGCTAGACTTTTACTTTAAATTGCACTATTTCTTATTTCCGGGCTGGGGATTTAGCTCAGTGGTCCTGCCGCCTGCCTCACAAGTCCTGAGTTCGATCCCGGTACCAAAAAAAAAAAATCTTATGTCCTTATGTTTTCTTTGTGGCACTGGGGATTGACCCAGGGCCTTCACATTGAGCTACATTCCCAGTCCTTTTTAAATTTTGAGACAGAATCTAACTTGCTAAGTCACTAGTAATTGCCACTGAATTGGGCTTGGATTCTTCTGCCTCAGCCTATCAGATTATTGGGATTATAGGTATGTGCTACCATACCTGGCTCTTATTTCTTTATTTAAAAATAAATTTTATTTTATTTTATCCCATTCCCCCCTCAAACCCCCTCCCCTCCCTATGTACAAAAGCTTTGTTTCCATTTTTTCCTTCTATTTTCACTATTTTTCTTATCCCTTCCTCCCTTTCTCCCTCCATCTTCCCTTGTTCCCCTTCCCATTTGGATACTTTCTTCCCATTTCCGAACATCCATTATACATCTCAGTCCTTATTTCCACTTTCAGTTTCTCACACCAGAGAAACAATACGATATTGAAACGTGTGTCTGATTTATTTCACTTAAGAGTATGCTCTCAAGGTCCATCCATCTTGCTATAAATGTCTGAAGCTCATCCTTCTTTATGGCAGAGTAGTACTTCATGATATACAAAAAACCTACATCTTCTTTATCCAGTCTCCAGCTGATGGGCATTTGGGCTGTTTCCAAGATTTAGCTATTACAAACTGTGCTGCTATAAACATGGATGTGCATATATCGCTGTGGTATGATGCTTTTAATTCTTTCAGGAAGATATCAAGAAGAGGTATAGCTGGGTCAAATGGGACCTCTAGTTTTAGTTTTTTGAGAAATCTCCACACTGATTTCCACAGTGGTTGTACCAGTCTACACTCCCACAAGCAGTGGAGAAGGGTTCCTTTTTCTCACAGCCTCTCCAGCATTTGTTATAGGTTGATTTCTTGATAGCCCTGCTCTTAGTTCTTTTTAAGTCCTCTAAGCTTTCTTACACTTGAATACTATAGAGTAAAAAAGTCAACAACTTTACTATCTATACTATCTCTATTTATATTTTAAAAGTAAACAATAATGCCTACAATTTTTATTAAACCTGCACACAAATATAAGAACACAGAAACTTCCCTAGTTGAGATATATTAAGCATCTAATTATTGCATACACTTCAGTACATACTCAATGTTTTCATTTGTTGATACTTACCTGCCAACTAAATCTGGTTTTTGAAGAGCTGCTTGTTGTTCAACTCCAGCCAATTGGGATACAGCCTGTAAGTAGTACAGAAATAAAAGCTGTTATAATAAGAGCAAAACTCAAGCTAGGGATGTAATTTTGCTGCTATTTAAAAAAACAGGATTATTATATTTCATATTTTGGTCACCTTGCAAGGTAGAATGTCTTTATTACTCACTGTATCAGTCTTACTATTTATAACAGTATTAAAGATAAAAATAGCAATATATCAAAATACATCTTATATTCTTCATGAGTTTTCACTTAAAACTTAGCACTGTTTTATGCACTTTTGTTTATTATTTTTAACAGAGAACACTATTATTGAGCTTCCAGTCCTGGCTGTAAAACTGCTACTTAAAAGGCGGTATACTGCTATTCCACAGGAAGATGATTCAATGACTCAAGCTTCCATTAAGAATGTAAATAACAACCGTTTCTCGGCCTTTTGGCTAAGATGAAGTGTAAGAATGTAAATAACAGGGGCCAGGGATTTAGCTCAGTGGTTCCGCCACCTGCCTGGCAAGCACAAGGTCCCAAGTTTGATCCCCAGTACCAAAAAAAAAAAAAGAATGTAAATAACAATATTGTTGGAAAGTAATTTTAAACATTTGCTTAATTTATCCTCTATGCACTGCCACTGGTGACAGCACAGAGGGATCACAGAATGAAAACTTAACAAAAGAGATCATTTCCCTAACCAGTTAAACCTTCTACCATGGTTCCTCATCTTCTAAAAGGTTAAATTCTTTTAGATGGAAAACAGTCCTTGATGAACTGGTTTCTATCTCCTTGCTTGATTTTCTATTTTCATCTCTCTTCTTGAAACTACATTAAAATGTAGTACCTCTTATATGAGTTGGGATCTTTCATATACTATGACTCTATGTTCCTAGACTATTTTAACCTCTCCTGAGTCCTGTCCACTTAGCAAATATCTAGGCAGAATTTCTATATAAAAGAAGCCTTTATGACAGTGGGTTCCTGAAACAGCAAAATTGTCTTGGGGATTCTGAAAAACCTTACACATTACCTCGTATCTTGGCTTCTAAACTAAATGGTTGGTTGCTAAAGTGATGAGGGTTCCTTGGAGAAATGGGTGACTCTAGCAATGGGACAAGGAAAGTATAAGATGAGCATTACTATGCCAAAAAGAAAAAACTGCTCAAAAAGCTGCGGGACATACCAAAAACACACAGAAGCCAACGTGAAGGAATTCCCACTACTGCCCAAATCTGGGACAACTTCAGTATCAAAATAAATAATAATAGCAAAATAATACAACCCATTTGGTAAAATAAGAATCCATAAATGTATACTGATACAAACAAATAAATAAGCAGGAAAGAGAAAGCTTTTACAGTAAAAACAGAATTAATAAATATAAGGACTGATGATGGAGTCAGAAAATCATAAAGGGTTGCTAAAACTAGTAGGCGAAAGTTTAATGAAATATAAGTAGTTTGAAACTGTCTCCCTACAGAACACTTTTCAATTACAAAAGGCAAAAAAAATGATTAACTTTTCTGTGGAAGAACTTGGAAGACCCCATCTTAACCACACAATCACATTTAACCTCTCCATTATTGGGATAAACCAACATCACATGCGTCATGGTATTCCAACAAAAAATGTATATTTAAAAAAGAGGAAATCAGACAAACTCAAATTGAAGGACAGTCTACAAAATAACTGGCCTGGAACTTTAAAAATATCAATGTTATGAAAGATGAAGAATGGCTGAGGAACTATTCCAGACTAAAGGAAACAAAAGAGACAAGTCAAAAAAGACAAAAAACCCCAGGGATTTAGCTCAGTGGTCCCGCCGGCTGCCTTGCAAGCACAAGGACCCGAGTTCAATCCCCGGTACCAAAAAAAAAAAAAGATAATGTATAATTTATAATTAGATCATGGGTCATGAGGGAGAAGCTGCTTTAAAGGACATTCTTTGAACAATAGTAACAATGTGGACAAAAGATTAAATAGTATTATATCTGTGCCTAATTCTCTGAATTTGGTCACAGTACTGTGGTTATTTAAGAAAATGCTCTGTGTGTGTGTGTGTATGTGTGTGTGTGTGTGTGTGTGTGTGTGTGTGTGTCTGTGCACATATGCACTGGAGATTAAACCCAGGCCTGGCCTATGATAGGTAAGTGCTCTACTGCTGAGTTAGATCCCTAGCTGGTCTTCTTATATGGAAATATTTAAGGGAAAATGGCATCTTGTCTGCAACTACCTCTCTCTCATGCTTCAGAGGGAAAAATAATAGGTCGATGAATGTATACATAGGTGAACAAATGAACAGACAGAACCATCGCCAATCATGCTTTTTATCATATCTCTTTATCATGTACATTTAATGTCTAACCCTAAAGACTCTATCTGATAATTTTTTTATTCTTGGTGCCTCTTAGCATAGTCCCTGGCACAAATTAGCCTTCCAATAAATGTATGAAGGTAGGAAAATAAGAAAGAATAACATGAGAAGAAAGGCTGCGCTACAAAAAATGTTTGTGACCTGATATTACCATTGAGGATTACCATCCTGAACATCAATCTTCAAAAAAGTATCAAGTAAAAAATACATGTAGTGTGAATCTTGTTTCATAGTAAATGTTCAATAAATGGTAGTCATCTTTCTTTTTATTGAAATATTACATTAACACAAACTGGCAACAAGTCACTTGGCTAGGAATAGGGAAATAAATAAATGTGAATATTTATTGTGCTATCATGTAGCTTTTAAAATTTGTAATCATGAAGGCCAAGTAAAAAATAGGGAATAGTTAATGAATTTAAAAAGCAGAAAATAAAAACATCATGTGTGCCCATGTTCATAGCAGCACAGTTTGT